TGTTGTTGTTGTTATTGTTCTTATAAACAACTTAACAAACAACATAACGCTTGTAAGGCTCAAACTGAAACCCTTACGACGGGAATTTACCACGCCTAAGACTGACACCAACATTAACAGCCTATTCTCATAAACGTAAATGCTGCTGTAAGACCTTTCTCGAAGCGTCAAATTAGGATTCTAAATAGCATGTGAATCACGAAATCCTCGTCAAATTCTTGCTTGAAGAGGATACCTGTGTTATCCCCATTTTCTCTTTCATGATTGAACAGGGAAATATCTTTATGCCATCAACACATGTAAATATTCTTATCCTGTAAATATTCCTCCATCCATCTGGATAAACTCCTTTCCTTCGTAATTATGTGTGCGTCATAGTGTCAACCAGGAATTCTAACCGCTGTATTACAGTCGTCCCAAAATTATGGTCTATGTGAAAATGGTGAAAACAACTGAAACTCTTACACACCATCACAAGCACCTTTCCTTCTCAATCCTTGCGAAAAAGCCCTGAGTTCGAGGTTGCTGTCCCGCTACGTCAATTAAATAAGAGAACTGTATGTGATACTAATGAACACAGGAAAATCACTTATCGAAATCCCATATGGTCTAGCGGTTAGGATTCCTGGTTTTCACCCCGGCGGCCCGGGTTCGACTCCCTGTATGGGAAATACGATTGTAGTTTTTACTGTTATTTTTAATAATAATGATAATAATAATAATAATAATAATAATAATAATAATAATAATAATAATAATAATAATAATAATATAAATAATAATAACGACAATGGTGATGATAATGATAATGTTAATGATAAAGATAAATTATTAAAATACTTCATTAATTTCGCTAGTTTGCATGTTTGCATTTTATTTTTGATATAATCTCAGCATTTCACGAGTTTGCTTGCAAGTATGGCGATGAAGAAACATGGTCAACAATAGTTTCCTTAAGCTCATAGCAGAGGCAATTTTAAGCAGAGCGGATGGGAACTTAAATGAAATTCCCCAATTCACAAAAGTGACAGCACTCGAACAAAAACGGAAGAAATATAGCAACTGTTTAAATTCAGCAACTTTACATAAAGATAGTATAAAATGCAGGTTTTAACAACTTTCATAAGGTCTAGTGGTTTCACTTGGGCAACCTGTGTCTGACTCTAGTGTACCAAATGAAATATATATAAAAAATTATGCATTAGCATATTCTTACAAACAACATATACAACAAATTCCCATATGGTCGAGCGGTTAGGATTCCTGGTTTTCACCCATGCGGCCCGGGTTCGACTCCCGGTATGGGAAGACATTTTAGTTTTTTAAAGATTTCTTTATACACTGAAACCTGAAAACGAAAAAGATGGTCTGGCTTATAACCTGTTTGAGGGTTAATTAGATTGCGGCTTTGAAGATGTGCGGAACATTTTGTTTTAAATATTTTTAAAGCATTTCTGGACTTTTCTTACTGTTCATTTTATAGCTTGCGGTAAAGGGTGAAAAAAGCCGACCCCGAGTGACGCGCGGAATGAGTATGCAGGAAAGCACTCTCTTGTGGAGAAACACGGGTAAAATTCAGTTGGAAGAAGAAAAATTGATAAAAATTATGTACAGTTCCAGCACTAGCATACTAATAACGCATAAAAATAATAATACTGACAAATAACGCATACAACAAAATCCCATATGGTCCAGCGATTAGGATTCCTGGTTGTCACCCAAACGGCCCGGGTTCGACTGCCGGCATGGGAAACTGTTTCCTTTTTCTTTTTAACCATTTCTTTAATACATATTGAAACCTCTTTGTACGAAAATGTATTTGGCTACTAAAGTGGTTCAGGTTTAAAATGGATTGCAGCTTTGAAGACGTGAGGCAAATTTGTTAAAAAGTATAAATTAGATTTTTAAAAAAGTATTATCATGTTTCCTCTACAACGGTATTCTATGACCATTTGACGACGAGTTTTTATTAAGAATCCTTCCGCAAAACTCTAGACGGGGATAACATGAGGGGGAAAAAGCCTTTCTTGATTTTTGTTCCTTTTTAACTTAAAATGTGATTCTCCCTATCCACCTGTAGAATTTAATACTTCCGCATGGGACGAAATTTTTGCGGGTTCTAATTGCGATTTTTCCAGCGATCCGCAAAATAAGTTCCCGCAAACAAAAATTACTCCAGAAATATTCTCTAATATACAGTACTAAGAAATCGTGTCGGTTCAATCACACCGTGTCTCTTTCATTCAAAAAACAAAACGGTATACGACGAAATACCGGTTTATTGTTGGAAAATATGTATTTCTATTGCACGTACCCAATAAAAACGAAAATATTATCAATGCTGGGTACTGAGTACTTTCTGAAAATCGCAAAACTTAATACCACAGCCAGCAAGAAAAACCAATCTGTCCTAATCACAAAAACTAGTTCCCGCAAAACAAAAAAAATTGCCAATCCGCAAAACTTTCTTGCCACACGGTAGGTGCTAATGCCTTCCCGTAGTTCGGATACGGCGCACTGGCGAAAACGACGAAAAAAAATCTAGAAAAAATAAACAATTTCAAGAAGGTATGGACCAATTAAACAACACTACAACAATATTTATATTCGGTAGCATCCATTGTGCTTCAGTGTGAGTGAGGATGAAAAGTGAAGTGTAATGCCGCAGTTACTTGCATCATCTAAGCTGGGTTTATCGTATTACTGCAACACGATTAGATACAACAGTTCGTTATGACGGTATCAAGATAGATACTTAAAAAGACGGCATTTTATTCACCTCGCTTTCAGCGTATTATGGCCCAGACACTGTCAGACAATTTTAAGTACCTATGTATTGTTCTTGTTAACGAAACAACTATATGAATTTACTTCTTTGTAGTTGAACATCCACGTTTCGACCTAAAGTGACGTGTTTCGCACCAGAAAATGTCCTCATATTCGTAATTTCAGGAAGTTAAACTTGCCTTCCTTCAATTCGTTGTTGTGACGGCGGTGATCTTCATTCCTGCATTTCGGAGTCCAGTAAATCATCCAGCAAGTCTTTCGTCTTCTTTGCTGTTTTCGGGGCTGAATGATAGTGAAGGCTATTTTAACTTTTTCACAACATGTATTTCTCGCTAATTGTTGCATGTCTAAACATTCAAATTACATGATCAGCACTGAGATAGATCAAAAGACGGTGGAAGAAGAACGCATGGGTGGATTTATGGGTTGACCGGGGGGGGGAGTTAGGCACCACCCGCACCTTTTTTGGGTAAAATCAATTTCGCATTATTTTTAAGTAATTCTCAGTTTAACAAATAGATTCTATGTTGGCGTGCGTCTGTTCAGTAATAGATCACAGATGACGTCTAAATGTGATAAAAACAAGTGCAACACGAGCCGCCGGCGAGTGTGTCACTGATGTTTTTACCACATTTTGACGTTCTCTGTGATCTATTACTGAACAGACCAACGGCAACATGGAATCTATTTGTTTTATACAATGATCAGAAAAGAGTAAAGACGATACAAAAACTTGCCTTATACCGCTTGACTGTTCGAGGATTTGTGCTAGTTTAGGTGTTTTTTAAGTCCCAAGCGCTACTTTTCGTCCCTGCTTCTTCTTTTTTTCTTTATCTTACGTATCTTATCTTACTACTTCTTACTGTTGTGAAGATTTCTTGTAGTTTAGGCATTCTCGAGTAGTCAGGAGCTGTTATTGTCTGCGTTTCTCCATTTTTCTTCTTTGTAAATAGCTCCTGCTAAACATTTTTCGAGGCTTTCATTTGCTTTAATCCGAAATAATCTCACAAACATTTTTAAAACCGCTCGTCATATTGAACAAAACAGTGAAAACAAGTTTTCGATGACGTCATCAATGTATCTGTACTGTAATAGATCATGGCCAAAGACCAATCACAGCGCGCAGAGCATTCACATCATTGTATAGAAAATAAATAGAATCTATAGAGCTGGCAAGTGTCCCTTCCCCTCCCCTTCTGAATCTTTCAGATACGCCCCCAGAAAGAGCACTCTTAGCCCATTTTCTCTGCGGTTTTTAAAACATCTCGAACGGTTACCGCTTTCCTTTCACTAAGTGCGGGCGAGAGAACCAATGTAGGGGATGTAAGCTATTCCTACTTACTCAAGATATTTCCCGTTTCTGTGTGCCTTAAATTCTCACGCTCGCGACACCCCTTACCCTTCAACGGTTTCTACGTATAGTTTATACAGGCACGTCTTCTTTGCGTTGGGTACCGAACGTATAGAATGCAGATACTGTAGATCAACTCACTGTCTTTATGTGTTATTATCATTATTATTATTATCATTATTATTATTATTATTATTATTATTATTATTATCATTGTTCTCAATATTATTATTACTATTACTATTATTATCATTATAACATTATTTTTTATATTTTCGTTAAAAAAGGATACTGCCATGAAAGTGTTCAGCGGTTCTCTTTCTAAGAGCATCTACACTGTCCTCATCCTCAGCCCACTCGAGTACCAGTCTCCTCCCGTACAAATGCGTACTGCTACACAAGGATTCGAAGGTACGCTAAAAAAATATCAAAACGACGGGTTTACCCACGAATCTTACTCTGAACAAGTGACTTGTTTCTTCAGCAAAAACCGATAACATTTTATTGTTTGAGAATGTAAAGAGAAAGGAATCGTTTTCTACGAGAAAACGTTTTCGCGTATGCAGTGAATACCTTAAAGAATCTTACGAAGAGAGCAAATTGCATTTCACGCAAATTCAGAGCCTGGCTTCAGGGCCCCATGACCTATCTTTCGCGCGTTGCTAAGGGAAAGCATTTTCACTTCCGATGCGCTTGCATATGATGATTTTAGGGGGCACTGGAATGAAACTTTTTCCTCCTTAGTAAATTATTGCAGCTTTTCAAAAAAAGCCTCCAGCATACCATCCGCGGCGAGAAAATTCACGACTATAAGTTAGTATAGTCAAATTCTAAATACTCTGCTGTTTCATGGTGTTACACGGTGTTACAGGCTGTTACACGTTGTTTCATCGGGTTGCACGGTGTTACCGAGTGTTACACGGTGTTTCATGGTGCTACACGTTGTTACGGGTTATACGGTTCAATGTAACACCGTGTAACACCATGTAACACCACGAAACACCATGTAACACCCTGTAACACCATGTAACACCCTGTAACACCATGCAACACAATGAAACACCGTGTAACACCATGTAAAACCGTATTGCTATGTAACACCCTGTAAAACCATGTGACACCATGTAACACACTGTAACACCATACAACACCGTGAAACACCATGTAAAACCCTGTAACACCCTGTAACACCATTTAACACCGTGTAACACCCTGTAATACTATGTAACACCCTGTAACACCGTGTAACACCCTGTAACAACATGTAACACTATGTTGTTACAAGGTGTTATATGGTGTTACAGGGTGTTACATAGTAATACGGTTTTACATAGTGTTACACGTTGTTTCATGGTGTTACACCATGTTACATGGTGTTACAGGGTCTTACATGGGGTTAAAGCGTGTTACACGGTGTTACATGGTGTTACAGGGTGTCACATGGTATTAAAGGGTGTTACATGGTGTTACAGGGTGTTGTTACAGGGTGTTAAACGGTGTTACAGGGTGTTACATGGTGTTACATAATATTACAGGGTGTTACGTGGCGTTGCACGGTGTTACACGGAGTTACATAATGTTACACGGTGTTACATGGTGTTACACATTGTTACATGATGTTATATAATGTTACAGGATGTTACATGGTGTTACACGGTGTTTCATGGTGTTAAACGATCGTGCAGAGTGTTATATGGTGTTACAGAGTTCGTCAGGTGTTTCATGGTGTTCCACGGTGTTCCAGGGTGTTACATGGTGTTTCATGGTGTAACACGATCTTAGAAGGTGTTACAATGGTTTTACGGTGTTTCATGGTGTTACACTGTGTTACACGGTGTTACAGGGTGTTATGTAGCATGTTTTGTTAACATGCTATGTTACGCGGTGTTACATAGTGTTACAGGGTGTTACGTGGTGTTACAAGGTGTTACATGGTGTTACACTGTGTTACATGGTGCTACAGGGTGCTACACGGTGTTACATGGTGTTACAGGGTGTTTCATGGTGTTGCACAGGGTTACATAGTCTTAAAGGGTGTTACATGGTGTTACACGGTGTTACATAATGTTACAGAGTGTTACGTAGTGTTACATAATGTTACAGGGTGTTACGTGCTGTTACACGCTGTTACAAGGTGTTACATAGTGTTAGACGGTGTTACATAAAGTTACACAGTGTTACATGGTGTTACAGGGTGATACATGGTGTTACATAATGTTACACAGTGTTAAATGGTGTTAAAGGGTGTTACTCGGTGTTACATAATGTTACACGGTGTTACATGGTGTTACAGGTTGTTACACGGTGTTACATAGTGTTACAGGGTGTTAAACGGTCTTACATGATGTTACACGGTGTTACAGGGTGTTACACGGTGTTTCGTAGTGTTAAATGATCCTGCAGGGTGTTACATGGTGTTACAGGGTTCTTTAGGTGTTACATGGTGTTTCATGGTGTTACACGTTTTTACAAGGTGTTACAATGGTTTTACGCTGTTTCATGGTGTTACACTGTGTTACATGGTGTTACACTGTGTTATATGGTGTTACAGAGTGTTACGTAAAATGTTAGGTTACAGGGTGTTACATGGTGGTACAGGGTTTTACACGGTATTACATGCTGTTACAGGGTGTTGCACGGTGTTTCGTGGTGTTACACGATCTTACAAGGAGTTAGACGGTTTTACAGGGTGCTTCACGGTGTTTCATGGTGTTACACTGTGTTACATAGTCTTACAAGGTGTTACATGGTGTTACACGGTGTTACATGGTCTTACATGGTGTTACACATTGTTACAAGGTGTTACATGGTGTTACACGGTGTTACATAGTCTTACAAGGTGTTACATGGTGTTACATGATCTTACAAGGTGTTACAATGGTTTTACGGTGTTTCATGGTGTTACACTGTGTTACATGGTGTTATGTGACATGTCATGTTAACACGCTATTTTACACGGTGTTACATGGTTTTACTCGGTGTCACATTGTGTTACAAGGTGTTACATGATGTTACACGGTGTTACATGCTGTTACATGGTGTTAGAGGGTGTTACACGGTCTTTCATGGTGTTACATGATCTTGCAAGGTGTTAAACGGTTTTACAAGGTGCTTTACGGTGTTTCATGGTGTTACACTGTGTTACATGGTGTTAGAGGGTTTTACATGGTTTTACACGGTGTTACATAGTGTTACAAGGTGTTACATGATGTTACACGGTCTTACATGGTGTTACTTGGTGTTTCATGGTGTTACAGGGTGCTTCACGGTGTTTCATGGTGTTACACTGTGTTACATAGTCTTACAAGGTGTTACATGGTGTTACACGGTGTTACATGGTCTTACATAGTGTTACACATTGTTACAAGGTGTTACATGGTGTTACACGGTGTTACATAGTCTTACAAGGTGTTACATGGTGTTACACGGTGTTACATGCATGGTGTTACATGCTGTTTCATGGTGTTACATGATCTTACAAGGTGTTACAATGGTTTTACGGTGTTTCATGGTATGTCATGTTAACACGCTATTTTACACGGTGTTACATGGTTTTACCCGTTGTCACATTGTGTTACAAGGTGTTACATGATGTTACACGGTGTTACATGCTGTTACATGGTGTTAGAGGGTGTTACACGGTCTTTCATGGTGTTACATGATCTTGCAAGGTGTTAAACGGTTTTACAAGGTGCTTTACGGTGTTTCATGGTGTTACACTGTGTTACATGGTGTTAGAGGGTTTTACATGGTTTTACACGGTGTTACATAGTGTTACAAGGTGTTACATGATGTTACACGGTCTTA